TTTGACAAAGTTTTGGCATTGTTTCTGAGGAGTGGAACTGTCACTGCTTGTTGGAAAAAGGTGGATCTATGTCAGAATGAGCTAAGGAAGGTGGACCAGCACTCGGGGAGGTGAATTGGCATTGGAGAAGACGAACCGTCGCAGAAAAACCATGGAAGATGGCCTGGAAGCTCAAACATCGTCGGTAGAGGGGAGACGAAGCGTCGTCGATGGTAAGAAGAGAGAAATGAGGGTGACTGATGGTGGAGGAAGCTGAAACGACACCAGAAAAGGGAGGTGTTGATCTTTAAGCTCAAAATGATATTTTAATCACTTTAATAAAGTCTTTTACATGACTCTAACAAGCCCTTGGGAAATTTTCGATCATATCTATAAAGTTGTTATATTTTCTGATCATGCTACTTTGAAATATCTTCTTACTAAGAAAGATGCTAAACCAAGATTGATTCGGTGGGTTTTGCTTTTGCAATAATTTGACATTGAATTTAGAAATAAAAAAGGTTTTGAGAATGTTGTTGCTGATGATTTGTCTCGCATTAATCTTGAATTCATTTTTGAAAATTTGTCTTTGAATGAATCTTTCCTTATGAGCAACTTATGAGCATTGATACTTTACCTTGGTTTGTTGATATAGTGAATTATCTTGTTATAGGAGAATTCCTACCTCATTGGACTAAGCAAGAAAAAACTAATTTTTTTTGGCCGAAATTAAGAATTTCTTCTGGGATGATCTCTATCTTTTCAAATATTGTGCTGATCAAGTTATTAGAAGATGTGTGCCAGAGAGCAAATTCCAAAGTGTCATCTCTTTTTGCCATAACCAAGCTTGTGGGGGCCATTTTAGTGCTATAAAGACCGCTGCCAAAATTTTACAATCTGGTTTTTATTGGCATACTCTTTTTTGGGACACTTATGTTTTATGTTCTTTATGTGATAGCTGCTAATGGATGGGAAGCATTTCAAAGAGGAATATGATGCCACTCAACCTGATTCTTGTAGTTGGGTTTTGGAAAGAAATGAAGATGTATAATTTGGATTGTTGGTGATGAAGTTTTTTTGGAGTGAAAGAAAATTTAGAGAAATTAATTAAATTTCTGTATAAAAGTGAGTGGGGGTGTATATGAAAAGTGTGTAGGGTGAAAAAGAAAATTTTATAAATTTTATTTCATATCGTAATTTTAATTAGTTTGGGGTAATTTTTGTTACATTTTGGTTAAAATGTAAAAAGGTCATTTTGCAATTAATAGATTTTCATTAACGGATTGGGGGTATGTGTAATATATTTTTTTTTCCCTGTGCTATCTACTGCATCGGCAAATACATAGGGTTTTTCTTAATCATCCCTAAAATTTATTATTTTTCTTCTCAAAGATTTTTATGTGACTAGTGCTATTGGTTATCCACTTTTTAACCCTATTTTTAAATTTACGACACCAAAAGTTTTAAGTATACATGAATATCTAAACGAACCCCACCTAGTTCCAAAATGACTCGTATATTTATATTTTCACTCCACATCTTATAGCTTCTCAATTATATATTCTTCATCTATGTCTCACCACTATCATCTTTAGTTAAGAATAATCTTAAGTTTTTCTTTTTCAAAGCTATAAATTTCTCTCTAATAATTTCTTCTTCTTTGGAAAACAATTCTTGCTTCTAATTTGAAACATTTAAAAAAAAAAAAAAAAAAGGAGAGGTGTTATATTAAAAGGTAAAATTTGAGGTACAGTTTACGATTAAATGCAAAAGAAAATGTTTGATTAATATTCATTCACATGTGAAAGCTAAAAAAAGAAGAATTCATACCAATTTAGTACTTTTCTGAAGAATAATACTATAATAAGTTTAAAAAAAAAAAAAAAGCAATTAATATATAAAGTAGAGGCCAATACATCATTCTTTTTGTACCTATGGGTCGTTTGGATTGGTTAATATTAGATAACTGGGATAATATTTTTAAATTGGGTAGATGATAATGTTTGTTGGTTTGTAAAAAATTTTCCGGAATATTTTATGACAACAGGAGCATTTGGGGGGTATATCTCTGGAATCTTAATACCTTTTTTTTGGGGGGGGGGGGGGGGGGGGGGGGGGGGGGGGTGGGGGTGGTGTGGTGGTTGTGCGCCTTGCTATTATTAAAACTTACCTTGGTATTACAAATTTTTTCTAAACAATTGAGCATTTGGTCAAATTAACCTTATATTTTTAATATTTACAAACACCCAATCACTCATGCAGACACTTTGTCCTCACTTTTTAATTTTTCGGATGACATTGCCCTTATTATTGTCATTATTTACAGAATGTCATTATACCTAGAACAGCCACCATCAACCACCGTCGGAGGTTGCCAAAAGTCGCCATAATGGCGTACAACCACCGTATATGGCCGGTCGTGCACTGGTGAGACTTTTTCTTACCATGGAATGTAGGAAAAAGTCAGATCTGATTGTTTCACGACTAGATCTAGGTTTTCGACAAGGATGTGGTTGTGGAATGGCGACTGATCTAGTCGTAAAATGGCCAGTCTTTGGTAGTGAACAGTCGGCGTTCACGACCAGACTAGCCATTTCACGGCCAGATCTGTGGCACTGCCGGTTCACGACCAGATTTGTGGCATTCCAGCGGTGGTGACTGGCTGCTTAGTGGCTTGGGGTGGGTAGGGTGTTTTTTGTTAAGTTTAAAACATTTTTTGTGTAGGTTAGGGTGTTTTTGCTAAATCTAAAAGTAGGGGGTTAAAAAATATTCAAAAATAATAATAAAAAAATACTATTATATTAATATTTAAAAAGGAGGCAATTTAGTAATCTATATAATATACCTCTCATTTATCCTCGCAACCAAACATATATTCACCAATTTATTCGAACCAACCAAACACATTTTCTAAACATTTCCAATAATCTTCAAGGTGATCTTTATTCGTTAATATAATATCCCCCTATAATAAAATTATATGATCAAAACGCCCCCTAAAGATGAAAATTATAATTTAAAAAAAAAATAAATCCATAGTTTTTATTTTAAAACAACAATTAAACACCTTTCTACCATCCATGAACCCTATATATTAATTTTACCATTTCATATTAGATTTCAATAAAGTTAGTGTTAATCTCATCTTCCTCGGATTTGTGTCTTATCCATGAAATCTCGTTGTATAAATTGTTTGCTTCGATTGTTTTAATAGGCTATTTTGTTGCGAGTATTCATGTTTGGTTAAATTTTTTGTTAACACATATCTATAACATAAATTATTGGTTGGTATTCTAATATAACTAGTGTGGATTGCATTACATTAATGGTCAATTTGTATACAATAAATAGATATTTTTTAGTAATGTATACTTACAAATTCTCTATATAACCACCCTTGTGGCTGATGGATGAATGATGACTTGGGAAGTTAAAAGACCAAGGGGTCTGGGGTTTAAGTAGTAGCAAGGGATTACCCTCCCCCTCAAAAAAAAAAACTCTATACAAAGTATGTGACAAAAAAAATAATAGAAAAGTAATATAATTGTGTTGACTTTTTATTTTACTCCTCTATTTATTTTTTGTCACATCATTTTATATGGAAATCTGGTTGTAAGATTTTTTGCAAGTATAATATTATGCTTTTTATCTATTAAGATTTAAAAAAAAAAAAAATCAATGATCTATTAGTATAAATATTACGAGTTAATGTGACTTCTCCAAAGAATAAGATTAATATTACTCTTATAAGTATACAAAAAATCTTGCAAATATTAACAATCAATGACACTTTAATTTTAAACTTAATAAATGTATGTTTATTGTGGAACAAAACTTTGTGCATTTTTTTATGTAAAGGACACTTTTTTTTTTTTTTTTTGAATAAAAAGACTTAAGTCTGTCGACTATATGTTGTGTTACTTGAGTGATTAAAATAACCCTTATACCTTTCATCAATTTTTTTTTTTTTAAAAAGATGTCCCAAAATAATAATATCCATAAAAAGAAAATTAGGCGGAGGCGGGAGGATATGATGAAAAAATTTGCAATTATATAATGTCAAATATTACCGTGGACCATCTTGAGATGGACTCATTTTTTGTTGGGGAGTCTAAATCGACAATAATTTAGTGGGTTAAATAGTAACTCCTTTCTGTGATATTTCAGAGCTTCAAGGCACAATTTCTCTCAATTGACAAAACTGTCATCTGGGTTGCACCGATTTTATTGTTAATTAATAAACTTGTAATTTCTACTATGAATATCCAAAAACATAGGTGTACTGTCAAATTAGATAAATAAAAAATTATGAGATACTAAGCATTTGTACATGACATCAAACGTTGATATTTATGTCATAAATAGTAATATAATATAAATTAAACATTTTCTTTTTGAGTCTATATTTTGTTACTACATATTCATGTTAAATAATCTATAGACAGAATAAGTGGTCGAACCAAATAACAATAACAATTTTTTAGTAGGTTAAAATTTTTTATATACCCAAAAAAAAAAAAAAAAAAAAAAAAAAAAAAAAAAAAAAAAAACACTATCTATCTTGCTGGTAAGAAAAATTTGCATTAATTAAAAAAAGAAATAAAAACAAAATTGTTTTTAATTTAATAATTTAGAAATATAGAACTGGAGAAGTTGTGAAACAAATCAAAGAAAAATCGGGTTTTTGATGATTATATTATAATTATATACTGTTTATTGATACCTAATATTGTGAATATATGCTGAATATATATATATATATATTTCAATGTGTTTCGCAATCACAAGTTCAAATGTACTTGCTATTATATCTCCAAATCTTTAACTTATGGTATCTGCCTGATGAATAATCCAAAAAGACGTGGTCAACTCTCTCCCCACGTGGTCCACTCTCTCCCCACGTGGTCCAAAGTCCAAACCATTTGGTATTAATTTTATTGTATTTTGGTAGGTGGGTAGATGCACATATTTCACACAATAGAATACAATACTACATGAAACATCTTCTGGAGGGTAGTTGGTATCTTTCCTTTTGTCTTTTCTCTTATAAAACTAAATTCCCTAACGCCATTCTTTGCTTTCTTCTCACTTTTAACACTATCAGCTGCTTGCTCAGAGAAACCAACAAAAATTAGAGATGGGTGTGATAAAGGCAGCCATAGGAGATGCAATTTTGACATCTTTGTGGGTGTTTAGCCTCCCGCTTTTGGGAGTTTTTACACGCATAATATCAACTTTTCTTGACGTTCAAACCTTGCTACCAGTAACTCTATTCATCAGCATAAATTTGGCAACACTTTTGGTACTACTAATCAGCTTGATAGGCAGTGCCCTTGGTGGTGCCAGCTTCAATCCCTCCACTACTGTCTCCTTGTTCGCCGCTGGCCTTAAACCGGATGCCTCCCTCTTCTCCATGGCTGTTCGGTTTCCTGCTCAAGCTGCCGGTGGAGTTGCAGGTGCCATGGCGATTATGCAGGTAATCTAAACATTTTTGTATGTGACACAGAAAGGACCAAGTGAGAAATTTAAACAATAATAAATTTTATTTATAATTATTATTCAAACATCTTATTTAAAAATATTTTATAATAACTTTGTCATCCTTGTGATCAAATGTAGATAGAATTAAGTTAAACTTTAATTTTTGTCAACACATATTCATACATATTGTAGATGATAATTTAGCAATTAAAAAAAAGCTAAACTAAGAAACTTTAATTGCAGTATATAGATTAGCTTATACTAACTAAATGAGTGTACACTTGATAAAAAATATATATAGTTTTATATTTGGGAAGTTTTGATCACAGATATAAAGAAATTGAAGATTCGAGTTGCATGTTCTGCCGGGTTATTATATCTAAACTTTGGGAGATAGTACTGAAATATAAAGTACACCTATGATTTTGCAGAAGTATTATATATCTTATCAGAGAGTTTTTAATACTTTTGTATGGAGTAAATGATAAACCCACAGGGGTCAGGGGTAAATAATCATTTAGGAAATATCATATTTAGGCTGATATATATATATGGTTATTATGTTATCAAGTTTAATAAATGAATAAAATTTAATAATAATAGTAACTAATTAATAAAGGTTTATTAATTACATAATCATTGTTGAATAATATGTAACAGGTAATTCCAACAGAATACAAGCATATGCTGAAAGGGCCGTATTTGAAAGTGGAGTTGCATAGTGGAGCCATAGCTGAGGGAGTGTTGACCTTTGTGCTTTCTTTTGCTTTGCTTGTTATTATGGGGAAGGGTCCTAAAAATTTAATTTTGAAGATTTGGCTGCTTGCCATGGCAACTGTTGGATTAGTTTTTGCAGGTTCAAGTTACACTGGACCTTCCATGAATCCTGCAAATGCTTTTGGATGGGCATTTGTGAACAATAGGCACAACAATTGGGAGTTGTTTTATGTTTATTGGATTTCTCCATTTATTGGGGCAATTTTGGCTGCTTGGTTTTTCAAATTTCTTTTTCCTGCGAAAACCAATAAAGAGAAAAAAGCCTAAGAAATTTAATGTCTTGTTTGATTCCACTTTCTTCTCTTGAATAATGATTCTATGTGAGCAAATATTTATATCACATTCAGAAATGAAATTGAACGGATGATGAGAATTGATTGGTACTTCGATAGTTAGATTTCAAAGGAATGAATAGAGTTTACCTTATCTTTCATGATATCTGTTAAGTGTCATACAGCTTACTTGTAAGTCAATAATACCTTTCTATATATTATGTCTGGGTTTTACTTTTACAAAAATCTAGCATGTTACAGTTGATTTGGATGAAAGCAGAAGTGATGTAGTAGAATTTAAAGAACTTTTCACTATATTGATCGAATGAGACTTCATATCCGAAACGCAGGAACGATCTGACTAGAAAGTAATTTAAAACTTGAGAAATTAAATCAATCGTACAAGCTAATTGAGCTCAATACATAAGAGTTAAGAGAGGAGCAACAATTTGCATCACATACTCAACACATGTTAAACGTTTTCCAATTAACTGTTGACATGGATACAAACTAATGCTGGCTCATAAATCATCTGCTACTTCTGATGATGAAACAATATATCTTACTTTACGCTACTTATTTGCAACTTTTTCTCACACAAAATGAATGTCAATTTCTATATGTTTAGTTTTTGCTAGAGCAACAATACTCATATTATCACACCAAAGAATTGGAATTGCATAATGAAGCTGATCGAACACCAAGTTCCTTAAACAACTTAAGAAGCCAAATAATATCACTTGTGGCATGTGCAAGTGCTTTCTATTCTGACTTTCTAGAGGACAATGAACAATAACAGTAGGCGAGAAAGTGAAAGAAAATGAGAGAAAATGAAAGAAAACTTTAAGAGGGAAAAAGTTTGCTATTTCCTTAACAAAAATAGTAGCATTGTTCAGTTTTTATACACCGAGTATTGTAACGGAAACTGAATTGAATGTAATGGAATAGCTAACCATTCTTAACAGCAATAACAGTCAACTAATATTAGTCAACATTTTCACTTTATTTCATATCCTAACATCCTGCCGTAAATCAAACTTCCATGAATTCCAATCTTTGATTTCTTTCACATCCTAATTGAAAGACTTAGGGATTGAAAATGAGTTTTGAGAGAGAAAATGGAGAAGAAAAATTCGTCTGATTTCAGTAGCTTCAAGCTTAAGAGTGCGGTGTACATTTAGTTAGTTTTATAATAAACCAACTTCAACTTTTGCTAAAAACGGCAACACTTTGCCTAAACTAAAATATTTGCTTAAAACGGCAGCACATTGCCTAAGAATTAAACGCCCTCGTTTTGGACTTCTTTTAAACATTCAAAGGAAAGTCTTCGCAACAGCTCCCCTCAAGCTTCACAGCTCCCTTTAAGCTTGACTGCAAGAACAACAGTTGTAAATGAACATTTGAAGCTTTTAACTTGTGAGGAGATCTGGAGGAGAAAGGCTTGTTGCACAGCTCCCTTTAATCTTGATTATGAAAGCAGCATTTTCAAAAAATATTTTGTCACAGCCATACTTTGCCTATTTAAAACACAAAATCAATACTGCTGCTACTAATCAACAGCCATACTTTGCACAAAATATCACCACTATACTGCACACACCATAACTGCAAAATCAAGTCATCATTCCATCACCATGTGCTATTACCACCAAAACACAATCAAGCCATCAATCCAATCCTAGTCAACATGATCTGCTACCAACAAACACATCAGCTCTGCAGCAAGAAAATACTATGTACCATACTGATCGCAAGAAAATACTCGGTACTATTCTATTCAGTATCATACTGATCTCAGTCATTGTAGAGGCCATAACAGATAAAAATAACAGATGCTTGCAACAAATACTTCAACTGTCACTGCTGTACCATACTGATTTCAGCTAGGTAGAGCTAGTAGCAAGTTCATGTACAACAGCCACATTCAGTTTTGTCTTGAGAGTATCAAATTGATTTGCTGGTAAAGCCTTAGTAAGGATATCGGCAATTTGAAGTTTCGTAGGCACATATTGAACAGAAATCTTCTTAGCAAGAACTTGCTCCTGGATGTAGTGTACATCTATTTCAATGTGCTTGGTTCGGGCATGAAAGACTGGATTTGCAGCCAGTGCTCCAACACTCACATTATCACACCAGATTACAAGAGGTTTAGCAAAGTAAGCTGGAGCTTAGTAAAGATACTTTGCAGCCATGCCACTTCAGTGGCTGTATGAGCTAAAGCTCTATAGTCTACCTCAGTTGAAGACAAAGCAACTACTCTTTGTTTCTTAGAACTCCATTGATCAGGTTAGGCCCCAAGTACACATAATAGCCACTGATGGATCTTCTATCCCCAAGGTTGCTACCCCAATCTGCATCGGCATAACACTCAATATGCAGAGTAGTTGCTGGTCTAAACAGTTGTCCATGATTGAGGGTACCTTTAAGATATTTAAGGATCCTTCTGCAAGCTTGCCATTGCAAGGTTGTTGGTGATGGGAGGAACTGACTCAATTTGTTTACTAGAAAACTTATATCAGGTCTGGTAAATGATAAGTACTACAGTGCACCAATTGTACTTCTATACAAAGTAAGGTTATCAAACAATTCACTATCAGCAGGGAATAATTTGGTACCAAGGTCCAGAGGAGTAGCACAAGGATGGGCATCAATCATTTTTCCTTTGAGCAGTAAATCTGTGACATATTTGGTTTGCCTCAAGTGAATGTCAAATTTTGATCTGACCACTTCTATGCCAAGGAAGTAATGAATGGATCCAAGAGTTTTCAAGGCAAACTTATCATTGAGATCCTTGACTAACTGATTAATAAACTCCATATTGGAACCAATAAGTAGAATATCATCCACATAAATCAAAATATAAGTGACATGGCTGGACTGATGATGGATAAACAGACTTGAGACTAAAACTGAATTATGAAAGCCTTTGCTCAAAAGAGCTTCCTTAAATTTGTCAAACCTGGCCTTGGAGCTTGTTTAAGGCCATATAAAACCTTATTAAGCTTGCAACACGAGTAGAGTGAGTGGAGTCAATAAACCCAATGGTTGTTGCATATAACTTTCTCATGGAGCTCACCATTGAGAAAAGCATTATTCACATCTATCTGTTGGATATCCCAGTGGTAGGTGACAGTAAGAGTGAGAATAATTCTAATGGTGGAAGGTTTAATGATAGGACTAAAGGTTTCAAAATAGTCCAAGCCAGGGGTTTGTTGAAAACCTTTAGCTACAAGTCGGGCTTTGTATTTTTGGAGACTATAGCATCAGCATGAAATTTTGTTTTAAACACCCATTTGTTCCCTACTATATTCATGTTAGAAGAAAAAGGCACAAGGATCCAAGTATGGTTATGAAGCAATGCATCATATTCATTTTGCATAGCCTACTTCCATTCAGGTATGACAAGAGCTTCTGCTACTAAACTTGGTTTAGGAAGAACAAACCCTGTAACAGTAAGGACAATAGCTCTGGAGACAGTTCCTGATTTACTTATAGTGATCATAGGATGGGTATTTAAGCTAAAGGTAGATTGTTCAGTAGTGACTGAAGGGTAGGCAGTGAATAAATCTATTTCAAGTGGACAAGAGGGAATACATGCTGTAGTGGAAATAGTTTGAGGGGAAAGCAAGGAATCAAATTTTGCTAAAGAAGATAGAGATGGTAATGATAAAGGTGAGGAAGTAGACAAGGATGCTGGTGATTGAGCAGATTCATGTGGACAAGAATGCTGAGAGTTATTAGCAGGGGGGATAATGTAGTAGAAGCTAACTGATTTGTGTTTGACACATGAGTTTGGAAAAAATCAGTATGAGAAGGTGATGATGTAGAAATGACAGGATTGAAATGATTAGAAGAATGCACAGGAAAAGTATTGTGTTGAGAAAGAGTAGGACAATAAGAGTTTGTAGGAGAAATTTGCTTACCATTGCATGTAGAAGACTTAATCTGAGGACAACTCAATGCAAGAGGAACAATAGGATTTGAAGAAAAGGATAAAGAAATAAAAGGTAAGCTAGTGTTAGTTGAGAGACCAGGAGAGTCCAGAGAGCCAGTATTGGACCTGGTAGAAGCAATAAAACCAATGGAGAAAGGAAATTCAAACTCATTGAACTTGACACTAGGAGTAATGAACACTTTGCCAATAGAGTCAAGACATTTATAACCTTTGTGCACTAGACTATACCCCAAAAAACACATTTAGAAGAGTGAAATGCAAACTTATGTTTATTGAAAAATCTGAGAAATGGAAAGCAAGTACATCCAAACATTTTACTGAAGAATAGTTTGGTGTTTGATGAAATAAAAGTTGATAAGGTGAAATATTTTGCAAAACATTGGAAGGCATTCTATTAAAAAGAAACACAGTTGTTTCAAAAGCAAGCCACCAAAAATACAAAGGCATGGATGCATGGGCTAACAGTGTAAGATCAGTCTCAACAATGTGCCTATGTTTCCTCTCACTTCTGCCATTTTGTGGATGGACATGACAACAAGAAAATTGTATTCCAATTTCAGTGAGGTAAGAGAGCAAGCCTTTGTACTCTCCTCCTTGGTCTGACTGTAAGCATTTCAATTTACAATTAAATTGCCTTTCGACTAAATGATGAAACCTAATAAAGGTGGACTTTACCTCAGCCTTGGTCTTAAGAGGAAATAACCATGTAAATCGACTAAAGTCGTCAAGAAAATGCACATAGTACTTGAATCCTTCTGAGGAAGCTATAGCAGCAGGACCCCAAATGTCACTATGAACTAATGCTAAAGGTTCTATAGCTCTAGTTTGAGAAGGAGGAAAGCTTGTTTGATACATTTTTCCTAAATGGCAGGCATTGCAAAAAAGAATTGAAGCAGTGATTTTTGAAGAACAAGAGCTAGTTTTAGAGAAATCAACAAGTATTTTGCTCATAACAGCAAAGATGATGCCCCAATCTCACGTGTTAAAGCATATAGTTACTAGTGCTAGTGTTAGTTAAGTGAACTGAGTGCATCATACAATTATCATAAGCAGAATGTGAAACAATTTTATCAAGAATATGAGCTGCAAAAATGGAAAAATCCTTATCTTTATTTATAGCGCACCAGTTTGTACAGAAATTCTAGCACCAGCATCATCAGTTTTTACAGAAATTCTAGCATCATCATGTTTTACAGAATTCTCAAGATATGCAAAAACTTATTTACAAAATGTAAAGGCTACATGTTCATCACAACAATTTGAATCA